AGTTCACATGTACCGTTTTCTATTTTGATTTTCATTTCTTAGAATTATTTGTGTTCTGTTTTATATTTTTTGAGTGGAAATATAAAGTTTCTTGAGAAAATGAACTTTGATTTAAATCGTGATTTTTTTCCAAAAAAGTCAGGTGATTTAAATTTAACCACTCACCTGACTAGAAGTTCCACAGTGCTGCTTCTGGGGTCAATTTCCCCGTTTTGAGGAGGCGATTCCACTGTGATAGTGATGTGCCCTTGGGCTATGCCCTCATAGCTAGCGCCCTCCAGCGAGACTGAGAGACTAACCCCTAGCCAGCCTGACCACGGCCACAATTCCTCCGAGTAGGCCACCGAAACCTCCAAAAAATGCCCTAGAAAACGCGAAGCTCATTTTTTCCAAATCAATCAAACACGCAGCCAATCACCTTGCTGAGGCGTGTAGGGGTGCCAAGTGGGCTTGCCCACAATCCGCCCAGTTACGCCCATCCCATTCAGGATGGTCACGTTGACGATTAAGGGCACCGCGCCATAATACAAGGGCTGCGTGCAGTACGGCCACATATACGGACATTCGCTCAGGTCAATGTAGCTGGGGCTCAAGCTGGCCTGCAAACCGTCTCGTTCACCCCACTTGAACCAACCTCAATTAATCGCAAGCAACTACCTGAGGCTTGTAGCTGTTCAAAATGTGATGGGCCTTGACCAAGTCCAACTTCCCATGCCCCTGCTCGAACATGTTCGCGCCAGGAAGTCGGCGCGCCGATGCCATCAAGGCCTGCTTAATGCTGGCAGGGTTGATGATGTCTTCGCCTCTATGCAGCACGCCGCTGGCCAGAAGCGTTATCGCCCCTAAAACGCTCCAAACTATCCAAAAAACTCAAATAGTCAACGGGCGAACTTTACCGGCCACCACCGGAGACGCCACACTTGTCCCCGACAGCGTTCTGCAGCCGCCCTTAATATGCGAGCCCTTAACTGCCGACCCGAAGGTGACAATGTCGGGCTTCACTCGGCCGTAGCCTTGCGGCAACTCCCATGTCGTCATTCCTCTGGAGGAAAACTTCGCGATTTGGTCCTCAAAATTGATGCCGCCCACCCCGATCACATCCATCTGGTCGGCCGGGTTGTTCAACGTGCCGTAAAGGGGCCCATCATTACCAATTGCTGACACCATTATCACCTAGTGGAAGAATTTAAGCTTTAATTACTCCCTATGTTCCCCATCCGAGCTCATATTAACGCTTTCCGGAATAGCTTCCAATTATTGAATCATCGACTGACCTTATTGGCGGTCAACTCCCACACCTTATCAACAAAGGGATGATCCTTGAAGTCGGGACCGCCGATGCTCAAGTTGAGCACATTCATCTTCTTCATAATGGCATAGTTGAAGGCGTCCAGAAACCACGAAGTGTAGGAAACCTGCCGAAACCAGTTCCATTTCCCAAAATACTGCATCGACAACCGCTCAACCCACCTGGTTGTTGGTGAAAACTCGGAAAATGTACAGCTCAGAGTCGGGGGCGAAGCCCAAACACTCCTTGGACGAGGCAATCACTCCGGCCACAAAAGTTCCATGCCCTAAACCGTCATCAAAGGTCTTTTCATTGGTCCAGTTGGTTCGTTCCTTGATTTTTCTGAAGTGCGGATGGCTTTTGGAGAGTCCCGTGTCGAAAATGGCCACTTTGATACCTGAAACAGTCCCGCTAGTAACGCCGGTTGCTCCTGCGGTTTCACTGGGCAGGCCTACCTTTGCCGGTGATACCCATTGCCCATAAAGTGCCCGCCTGCAAGACGCTGGTAATTTGCTTGGGGACGGCTCTGAGTAGTTTCCTGGAAGTGTGATGTCTGGCGCCGTTTTGCCAAAGTTTCTCCTTAGAATTAGTGTTGGTGCCCCTCTCGTTTGCGCTCAGAAACTTTAGAGTGCGCGACACCATTCGCTGAGCAGTCACTCTCTTAATAGCCGGATGGTCGTTTAGGGCCTTCAAGCCTGCTACAGAGACTCTCCTTAACGTATATTCGCAATAGAAGGATTTTCTCTGCCTTAGAGACTAAAGCCGGGTTGAGATGTCCTACCTTGTAAACTTTCCGTGTCTTCCAGCACAATCACATCAAAATCACTAGGAAAATCACTTGCCGGGTTCTCACGGTCGACAATTTTCCACCGCTTCAACCCCGTGTTGTTCAGGGCGGTTTCAATGTAGGTGGCTCGCGCCTGGCTCTTGTAATAGCCATTGAACATGACAATGTACTCATTTTCCACGATTTTCGACGTGTAGTCAACGTCCACATGTTCCACCGTCAAGTTGCAACAAAGCGGCGACTCGAGAATCGCTTCGCCCGGCTTGGGGGGGCCCTCCTTATTGTTCGCATAGTTTTGGGTGTTGGTCGAAAGTACTTGCAAACACAGCGCCAGACTCAGGAGCACCACTCGCAAGCCGCGCATTTTCAGACGGAGCTCGATCGTTTCCACTTCTTTTTACGCCTAATCATCATTCAAACGGGGGCACATCGGAGCGCAGTTAAGAAAACATTGGATTTCAAATGGCAATGACCTTATTTACAGAGTTTGAGGTTAAATAGCATTGAAATGTCAGTGCTCAGCATCCATCAAACAAACAATGTCACCAACAGACAAAACCTAAAGACAGTAGCTGTGGAGTTAACCTGCCTGGGTGCCTGGCTTAACCTAATTTCTCTGTCAACAACAGCTCTTCCGAGGCGAGGATCTAATAGCTGTTTCTAAAAGGGCCCCAGAATGATAAATCTGAGCAAGCGGCTGCCTTTTAGGGGCATTGAGAAGCAACTGACAGTAGCCTATTCCTCTGCCCCCAAAGAGCAACATGGTAATCAGCACTTCTTCACAGACAAACACCTTTTCACCTAATATGTAACATTTTTAGACGAGTTCAAGGCGCTGAATTTGTACAAAGTTAAAGGAGCGGAAACACCCCGAAGGATACCCAGGAAAACACCAGTTTTCGCCCCCAGGACGACTCAAATGGCAGTGGATCAGGACTGGGGCAGCGTGTGGCCCGGCCCCCGCTCCTTTCACCCGGCCTCTGTACCCCTACCGGTCAGGCAGGGCTTCACTGAGAAGGGGGCTCCGATCCCCGACAAATACGCCAATGCTGAACTGATGAAAATCCCCAACTTCCTCCACTTAACGCCGCCAGTCATTAAGCGGCAGTGTGAGGCTTTGAAGAAGTTCTGCACGCCGTGGCCTGCGGCCCTGGACAGTGCCGAGAAAATTCAGCAGCATTTCCCGCTGGAAATCACCAGCAGCGACTACTGCCACAGCAGCCCCTCGATTAGGGATCCGATGGCGAGAATAGTTACGTTGCGGTTCAAATTGAGCAGCCTCCATTTGGAAAGCAGAGCAAAAGACAAGTTTCTAAGGTGGCAGCGCCTAGGCAACTGACCAGGGGTTAGATACAAATATTTCTCGTTACAGATTGGTAGGGGACAAATATGTTAAAGACACTGATACAGTCACAATAGTTACTGATCGATGCCCTTTGAGGAAACAGAACCTGGACTATGCGATGTATCTACTCACAGCTTTGTATCATGAATCTAAGGTAAGGGGCAATTGCAGTGCGAAACCTCGTTCTTCTTTATCACTATGCGAGCCATTTCTTTCTCAAACAAAGAAAGCTCCCGGTGGGCCAAATGTTAGCTTGTAGCTAAAAGGGGTAATTTCTGCAGAAAGTGGAGCCGTGGGAAGAGCTGAAATCTGAAGCCGACATGGAAACCTATATATGGGAGAACAATGCATCCAAACAAGCAGTTGAGAAAATATTTGGCGTCGCAGCCGAGCAAGTTCCGAACATCAAACAGTACTCACAAGCGGTCACTGACTATATGAATGAAGGTAGGAAGTCAACTCATGGGAAGTTCTACAAAACTAGTTTTGTCATTTTTAGGTGAAAACGATTACACCATATCAAAGTACGGCTTGAGCGTTAGAGATCTTCTCAACCTACCCCAACCAATCAGTTAATTAGTTTTGGTAAGGTTCATTTAGGACTGTCTTCTCAAACACGCCAAATTTCCACAATATCTAGCGTTCTATTGATAATAAACAATATGGCATTTCTACTCTAGTAAGTGCCTAATGCGGTCGTTTTCAGCCAAGTCCACAGCCAAACTCCCTTCGCTATCCCTAACAGAACAGTCGACCTTGTAGTCCAACAGCAGTTGCACACAGCCGAGATTTCCACAGCTGGATGCGTAGTGCAACGCCGTTTGCCCTTCGGAGTCCTAAAGTATTCCCCCGTAAATAAAAATTTACGGAGAAACTCTAGACGTACCTGCAAATTCACCTGGCAGCCGCCTTTGAGCAGCAGTTCCAAGATCCGTGAATCCCCAATATCCGCTGCATAGTGGATGAGGCCTAAACCATTGCTGTCCAATCGGTTTATGTTGGAGGGATTGTGCTTCAGGTAGGCTGCTACTTGGTCCAAGTCGCCGCTCCGGATGTGGTCGCTTATGGTGGCTGCTGAAGAATTCGCCTCGGGAATTGGAGCTGAAACGGCCACCTGAGGAACATTGCGAGCATCAGTTTCCTGAAAACGGCCACACATAGCCAGCTACTGCCTACCCAGCTTGGGGCCTTGCTGGAAGTGCCATCCAAAGAAAAATCCGGGCAGGTGGCTAAAGTGAGCTGAATGTAGCCCTCCATTGCCTGGGCCTTGTCCAGATCGCCCAGCATCTTCCAGGCCTGCCACTTGGACTGGCCCTTCAGGTCGTACCAGCCGGGCTTGGGGATGCTGCAAGGCCCTTCAACGCTTTGCTTGTAGAAGCCGTAGAGCCTCAGCAGCGTGCGATTGTCCAGGCTGGCTACAACTGTCTGAACGTGCTTTAGGCACTTGCCGAATTTCCTCGCTAGTAGAGTTTCGTTGGCTTCCACCACATCAATGCCTATCTCTTTTAGGTCGCTAAAGTCGTCCTCAGGTGAGCTTGCCATATTTACAACTATACTACTACTACTACTACTACTACGAATGCTGGGGTTTTGTGATTATCCACTGATATTGTCTTGATTGGCCGGAGCGACTTTCAGAGCGCTCCCTTCCAACTTGTGCTCGGTCACACTCTGAGCGTCGTCAAAGCCCTGCCTGTTACCGAAACTAACAAAACCGTACTTTTTCGACAAGCCTGTGCTTTTATCGAACACCACCGTTGATAGATTAACGGGGCCGAATTTGCTGAAGTACTGGCGCAATTCGCTGTGGCTCACTGTCCACGGGAGGTTGCTCACATACAGTTTGTGAAACTTGCCCTGAAAACCTCAACTTTTAATCCACATACAGTCGCTACTCGCAAGCTAGATCCACTTACAGCATTACTTGCCATTTCAGGCCTTTGAATCGATTTCCAGCAGATGAATGGTATGGCCAGCAAAAATATCGCTCACTTCCACGCCGCTGTGAGCCCCCAAGTTGCTCAGATCGTGCACTTTTGCCCTGAGCTTCCACTTGTTTAGCAAATGCTCGATCGTCCAATCGGTGCTGCGCTCTTGATAGGTGCAGAAGAACTTTGCGCCACTATTCTGATTCAGAATATACGATACTGTTACTAGAATGTCTTCGAAAATGGCCGGATCGAAGAAACAGTCGGAACCTGCAAGAAGCACAGGGTGATCAGTCAACACGCCTCACTGTCGGCTAGGAGGATTAGTGGGGCTCCCTCCGAACAAACACCTAGATTGGAAGCCTGAAGTACCTAAAATGATGTCGACTGGGCCGATGCAGTCCAAGTTGCTGAGAAAAAGACCCCAGGTGAGTCCCAGAACTCGCACTTGCTCGTCGACAACCAGCTGATTGAGTTGGCACGAGCGTCTGGTATGAGCGAGGCTCTTGGGAAGGGTTGCAGACTCGGTAAATGTGACGTGAGAACCGCACTTTGCCGCTAAGATGCCGGGAAGGGCTGTGCCTGAACCCAATTCCAAAACTCGCTTGCCCGGCAACTCGGAACGGTTTTCCCACAGAAACCAGGCGAGAACAGGGGCACAAGGCCACGTATAAAACGAGTAACTAGCTTGAAGGAGCTGAAATCATGAAGTGACAATGCAATGAGTTCAATTTAAACCAGACCCGGGATAAACGGACCACAAAGAAATCTACAATTAAGATAAGCTACTGTCTCATTAGTGAAGAGTTTCGGAGAAATCGGTCCTCAACCTTTACAACGCCCCAAGCTAGTATTTTCGGATGCAATTAGTCAGTTATCAGTTTAGGTACCTCAGGAATGTATATGTCCAACTTTTCAGTCTTATTACGGTCGTCACTGAAAACGAACTTTTTGACTTGTTCGATGGGACTTTCGGACATTGCACCCCACTATCTCCTATGTGGAAGTCAAGTGCACAATCATTACCTAGCTGGAGAAGCCCCTTTTCTACAATGACAACCACACGCTTCTCAAAAACTAGCACATAACCTAACACCACAGATCACAGAGGTTACTACTTGTCTTCATCTATGGTTACTCACAGATCACAGAGGTTAATGACAGTGTCGGTCTAAACAAAAATTCAGAAAATTCACTTCAGTCACACAGACAGAGCGCGCTTGTTTCCTTTTTAGTTCGAGATATTAGACGTTAACCCCGCCTATTTCTTGATTCCAAATACATTATTTCGGTTTTAAAGGATAATTCCCGAAAACTCGTAGTTAAAAATAGGGATTTTTAGTTGATAAGAATCCAACACTACCCAGGGAATCAGAACAATGGGTGTCTTCGTGAATATTTTTTACACCGCCAGCCGCAGGGCAAACAAAACAAAGAAGCCAAACTAACCTAATTTTCTGAATCCGCCATCAGCTGATGAGTCAGTCAGTGGTGTTGTATCGTTGTCAGTTTATCTTTATTGTAGATATTTTACGTTCAAAACTTGTTTGTGATATACCACTTGTTAATCAACGTGCATGTCAGGTAATGTGGCCGCTCACTAGCTCCTCAGACTGTCAACTTTGGCAAATCCAATCAAAATGACTGGGGCGAAGCTCTTTCGTATTCACACGCCTAGACTTGGGGGTGTTTTAGTGATCCCGGGACAATAAACAATGTCGCAATCCCGATATGGAAGAGGCGCCCCTGGTGGTTCGTTCACTGGGTCGAGCCCCAAATCCCATTCAAAAGGAGTAGCAGCCAGCTGCCCAGGCCAGAACCAGCCGTGCCCCAATACATCAAAACACAAGAACTGTTGCAGCGACATTCGAATAGTGCTCACTCTCACTGAGCCTGAAGAAGCGTTCGTTGCAGAGCTGAAGAATATGTATCGGTTGCGTAAGCTCTAAGAAGACAAAAGGGGCTGCGCTCTTTTTCTCATCGCTCGTTGTTTGCAGTGAAGAAAAGCCCCCCAGTAGTCTCCAAACTAGGGAACTACTTCAACCAGTGTTCCAACCCGTACGAGAGTTTCTTGAAGATTCTCTACAACAGCCAGGAGTTCTACAACGCCAACAAAAAGTCGTTGCCGCTGCTTCTAATCGAAGAATTCGGCAGTTTCGCCACGATCAACCGGAACAAAATAGCCCATCTGTTAACGGGCAAACTGAAGATCGATGCTTTCAAAATCATCACCAAACAGAACGTCCAGTCTGTCACCAAAATGATCATTGATATCTTCGAAATGGTTCAGGATGGCGCTCTTTTTGTTGACAACATCCAGTGTTTGATCCAGAAGAAACAGTACAAAGAGGTACAGTTTCAGGACTGACGACTTGATGATTTCGACGTTTCGTGTCGTCTTCCAGGCCTGCCAGTACGCAGCCATGCTCTCTTTACACGACAAGTTCTCAACGGAGGAGTTCCTAGTGCCCCTCATATTCCAAGACAAGTTGCATTTCGTCGACGAGTTCCTCCATGGAAGCCCGAGCCACCAAAGGGCCTTGATCCAGTTTCTGGACTCCGTCCTGGACCATAATTCGGTGCGAGACGCTATGGGACAATACATCGCGTAAGCTACTTGAAACTGACAAATTGACCACATCTAAGGAAGCTTTTTCAGGGATCGCCACATTCCGCAGGTGAAGTACGACAAGATCCACGGCAAGCCCTGGAAGCGGCTGATTGTGCGCTTCACCAAAATGTTCAAAATACCTGCTGACTTAACGCCCAACCTCAACAGAAGACGTAACGAGGGGGCTTTGCAGTTCCTACTCCATAAGCGGTTTATCGAGAACAGTTTCGGTAGGGAAATGAGGGTGGGTTGAAGACCCGCGCTGTGAGTGAATTGGGCGTTGCAGGCGACGAAAGCTGGAAAGAGATGGTGCAAGAGGCCGTGGGCGACAACGAGGACCTTCAAAGGGAACTGGTTGTTAGAGTGGCGCAGTATGGGGAGTTTGCCGAGGCGCTTCGTTGGGCGCACTTCTACAGCGTGGACCGCAAAGACTGGCCGTACGGCGTCCGGATGTTTGATGACAACAGGTATTGGTTGCTTATCACTTTTGAAGCTAGTTTTGCAATTTGATACATACATATAAACGTTTGATCTAAATGTTTCCGCGGCAATTTCCCTGGTTTAAACTTAGGGCACTTACCCAAATGCTGTCATTCCGTTGCTAGATCCTCGAAGGATTCGGGGTACTAAATCAGGCTCTTTTTTAGCCTAGAATGCATACGCACCACACTAAAATCATATTGGATGTTACCAGAAACACTGTTTACATCTGGACTGTCACTTGCGGCCGGAATCGACTAGTCGGGCACTATCGGCAAAGATCGTTTGCGACCGAACATTTCATCCGATCCCTTCCGTCTAACCTCAAATCGGTTGACTTTTCAAAACCCGATTTTGTTCGGAAAAACGCACGCCCGACTGTAATTTTTGTACAGAACTAAAGCTGAAAGTCTTCCGATTCGAAAAAACCCCAAATATCTGCGGGATTTTTGGATTGAGATCGTTTTTTCGCGTTTTCCCAAGGACGGTGTACGCAATTTGTCAAACAGTCACTGACCCAGACCAAACTGACGCTGCTGTCCAGGGTTGCCAGGTCCGAAAATCGAGTTTCGGTAGATAAGCTCGACACTTCGGTAGAAAATCGGTAGACTCATTTTTCTTTCATTATTAAAGGCTCCATAAAATCGCGCGTTTTTCAAATTTTTTAAACTCACAGGAATATGTACTAAAATAAACATGAGTCAGTAAAGAAGTAAAGATGAAATTGTACTCGTTTTTAGCTTATTTATCAACTTAGTTTTCATTAGATTAACCCATGATACAATGAATACACGAATACATGAATGTATTCATTGTATCATGAGTTTAACCTGTGAAAATATCCGTTCAACTTGGCTGATGAGTGAGGTAGAATAAGCAGGTCACAAATAAAATTGGAAACACGCATGCATCAGCTCCATATTTCAATATTGGTACTTGGCTCCAAAACTCTTCAATATTTTTTTTTATTTCTTCAACATTTCGCAACAGTCGTCATTCTGTGTCCAGACCTTGTAATTCACTATCAGTTATTAAATTTGGAAATCTCATTGCAACATCAGAAATATATTGTAGGGAACCTGATTTCACGATTGCAGGATCCATAAAACATAATTTTATCATATTTATGATCTATACATATGGCGGGCTTGATTGATTTTGTGTTTGAAAATGAACTAAAATACGAGGTGTGCTAAAATAAAATGTCTGCTATTACCAACGTACTTTGATCATGAATGGAAATATGTTATTATGAATCATTATGAATTTTTTTCAACTTTTATTTGTGACTTTTCGGTAGAAATCTGCCTGGTATAGGTAGATCGGTAGGTTCCTTGACAAATCGGTAGATCTACCGAAAAATCGGTAGACCTGGCATCTCTGCTGCTGTCGCTGTTTGAATCCGAAACAGCAACAATTGGTGGTATTGTGGTCGCACTTACTCACTCATATATTTAATTCGACAAAATATCAAAAATAATAAAAGCAATGCGATTATTGTAATTTAGGGATCCTCATTCGAGGCAGCCGCCGCCGGCCGACGACTGGGACGAGCCAAACGCAGCCCTAAGCAAAACCCAATGCCATCAGTACCCGCTACCGTTTAACACAGTCCTCTTAGTGGACGATCCGCGGAAGTTCGAGTCCTTTCTCGACGTGGGACTACAGGCAAGAAAACCCCCTGTTCCAGGCTGGCTCGGCTTATTAAACTAGTTTCTGCACAGGATGTGGATATTGTAGGGATCGACTGCGAATGGAAGCCGAGCTTCGGGGGTAAGACGAGCGAACTAGCCCTGCTCCAAATCGCTACAAGGCGCTCCGTTTATGTGCTCGACATTGTCACGCTGGGCGACAAGGCGCCCCATTTGTGGATGGAGTTGGGGAAATTCCTGTTCAACAATTGTGATATTTTAAAATTAGGTCAGTCATTGATGGTGAAAAGCTCTTGCTTGCTGACTAAGACGCTTCTCTGTTAGGTTTTAGTCTATCCAGTGATATCAGCATGATCAGGCACGCGTTACCCAATTTGAACTTCAGTACCAAACACATGGGATTCCTGGACTTGTGCATGCTCTGGAAACAACTGGAAAAGTACCCCAAAGTGCGCCTGCCCTTTGACGGTAACTAGCCTCCACTTAACTACTGTTAATCTTATTGAAAGGCTCTTTCTAGTGAAAACGGGCGGGCCCAGCTTGAGTACGCTGGTCCATAACTGTCTCGGCCATCCGCTCGACAAATCCGAGCAATTCTCCAATTGGGAGAAACGGCCATTGCGCGAATCGCAAATCTACTACGCCAGCCTGGACGCGTTTTGCTTGATCCAGGTAACCGGCCGTTGAACGTGTGTGGATCGCAACTGTTTAACTGATCTTTCCCTAGGCGTATGACGTTCTTAAACGATGTTTCGAGGAAGCCAATTGCCCGTTTGACGACTTGTGCTACAGCTTGATCCAGCACGATAAATCGCCAAGGAAAAAGCCGAGACGCGCCTTGAACCGAAGCGGGCAGGCTGAGAGCGACCCGCCTCAGCCCCCCAGTCCCCAAACGAGTTCTGTTCAGGTTGACTCCACCAGTCTGGTGCAGCGCGGTCTTTAACTAATAAAACATTCGATTTGGACAGGCACACGAAGTGAAAATGGTCTGCGACTCGATGCTACAGGGCTTGGGCAGAAGCCTGAGACGATGCGGTATCGACACTGTCATTTTGGAGAATAATCAGAGCCCTGATGAGTGCGTAAAACACGCCGTGGTCGACAATAGGTACATTTTGACGAGGAAGAAAGGATTTCGCGTGGTAAGACCGATGATGATGATCAAGGCTTTTGGGCCCCACTAATTACGATTTGAAGTTGATCAAGTGCGTAACGGCCGGCCAATGTTTGCGAGTGACGTCCGACCACCCCGATGAACAACTCGATGAGGTTCTGAACTTCTACAAAATAGTTGTGACGAAGAACCACGCATTCACTCGGTGTATGGTAAGTTGGTCGTGCAGCTCCCGACCCGAACCAACAGCAAATTATCAATTTCAGGCTTGTAATGGCAACAAGGTTATCACAGTGCCACAGGACACAATAAAGGCGCTACACAGTGCAGCGACGCCCCGTAAATACGCGCCCCCCTGCGACGACGAGGAGGAAGCCACTGGATTCACCAGCGATGAAGACTTTGACGACTACGAAGTGGGCTGCTATCGGCCCACAAAACCAGCCGAAAGCAAACAGTTGGCGTTTTGTGAGGCCTCTGCGACCAACTCGCACCCTTTGGCAACTTCCACTGTTTCAGACACGGACAATCGGGTGGATTTGGGACTTTGCCAGACCAAACTGGGGGTGCAAATTAAGGTGAACTCGCTTCCGTTAACAGTTATGAACACCCATGAGGTGTTCTACATTTGCGAAGAGTGTGGAGAGGTCTACTACGGCGGCTCCCATTTCGAACGCATACTCACTAGAAGGCTTCGGGAGACTGTGCAGTAAACTGTTGATTTTTAATACAAACTTTTTGGCGCAAAACGTCCGCAGTTGTTTCAATTCGTCGGCGTGGAGCGGGATGGGGAGCAGGATCCTACGTGCTAAATGCAGCTCGACTGATTGCTTACAACTTTAATCGCTCAACATTCTAACAACTAATATCACCCAGGTGTTGACTTTGTCTTTTGGCATGCCGCTTCTGAACGAAATCGTGCACTTTGATCTGTTGTGCGATAGACAGTTAACTAATTAATCACTAGAAAGCTTGATAGACCTTCCAACGACGCTTAATTTCAGGCAAACTACCTCCATGAAATGTTTTGAAACGCACCGGCCTCAACAATGTGGAGTTTTGGAAAAAACAAGAGAGCAGCCTCGTTCGCGCAAACTAATTTGCGCAAATTCCTCACCCACAAACCTACTAATCTACTGTGTTATTGTCCAAAGCGACCAGGCCAACAGGCCATTATTATTGGATTTCTTGGACGTACTGTCGATCACATCGGCTCCGAAGCCGTTGATTACTTAAGTATTGAGCAACGCAACAAACGTTAGAGTAGAAAATTGTACCTGCGGACTGATTAAGCGTCTTCGGGCTCCAGAAGGTGTTGCGCCTCGATATAATTCTGGAACGTTTGCGGAAACCGCTTATTCAACGCGGCAGTGGTTGTGATGTTCTGTTGCCGCTTGATCAGCATCAGCGTAAAAACAACCGTCAGAATCACTAGGATTAAAACCAGCAACACTCCACCTACTAAAAAACAAACAGCAATTGAATCCGACTGTAGTCTGAATAGTCTGAAGCGACTTACCGCTGATCATCACGATGGTTCCAACGCGAAACCTGCCGGGCATCGGCTGCAAAACCAGCTGAGTTGGAATAATCGAACCGTTGTTGGCAGGTGCAGGCAGATCGAGAATGGCGCAGAATAAATAGAATAGATCCACCGTATGGAAGGGCTCCACTTTGGTATGTTGCCGGATTTGAGGCCCCACAGCCATGAAGAACGGGTGCATCTGAGTCTCCGTGTAATCATATCCATGCACCCCGAATTCCGAACTGTTGGTCACTGAAATCCAAAAGTTTTCGCCTTTCCTGGATTAAATTTTCCCGGAACTTACAAGTGAAGTTGTACTTTTCAGCAAACCGTGGGGCGGCCCTAATGAGGTCATCTAGAGCATAGCCAACGTCCGCTAGTACCAGTATAGGGGGCGACCGCGAATTGTTCTTGTAGTGCCACCTTTCCAGGTACTCGGACTTGTTGTAGACCCCAAAGTGGCCGTTTCGCCTAGAAGCTGCCTTCAGGCCGCTGTAAATCTCCTGCTCATGTCCTGGACAATTGAATAGCCGTTTAAGCCTGGCACCTAATCACTTTGCTCATCCTCACCTTGATGGGGCGTGATCTGGATGGCAGGGCTGGCGCCAGCCCATTCATAGGTCCCATTCTGCATATACTGGGTGATGTTGATGAAGCGAGGCGGCGTCACTGCGGTCATTCCATGATCACTCACATGGATCACGTTCACCAAATCGCTCAACCCATGGGCGTGCAGTTGTTCCTAAAATGTCCATTGCAGCAACTAGACTATCTACAGGTACGTATACCTACGTGCAAGTACCCGGTGATATTGTCCAGTTTATGAACTTGGGTGCGCACAACTTCGGAGTTGGGTCCAAAGGCATGTCCATGCGTGTCCGGTTCCTCAAAGTAGAGCATCACCAGATTGGCAGGCCTGAACGGATCCAGAATCCAGCTGATGGCCTGAAAATGGCACGTTTCAGCCTGCGTCTCTGGCCTGGTCGGGGATTAGCTTACATGATCCACCCGTTTTTGCCAGTCGTATCCAGCCTCGAAGGGCAGCGTCCAGGTGATGGTCTTGTTCTGGTAGGGAAAGTTGCTGCCCGGCCACATGACTGCTCCTGAATGCCTACCCTCACCCAAGTCCTCATTCAGCCTCTGGAAAGAGCAAAAGAATCCAGAATTTTTCGAACTTTTTGACTCGTCGGAAGTCAGGAAAAAAACTAAAAACCTTCCACTGTGCCTGAGTGACCAAGATCGTGCCCGAAAGGCCAAATCGCTGATTTATACAGAATAAATCAAGCCAAACTTCCAATTCCTTACAATTCCTCAGTTGTAAGTAGCTTCACCATTTGATTCAACCCAAAGCCCGCTCGCACAAACAATCAATGAGACGTAGCAACAAGTATGAAGCATCACTAACACCTTGGGGGACTTAAAGCTACCAAGCTGCGTTCCCGAACTTCAAACTAGTTTTACTTTCAAGACACCAATAATGCAAAACTCACAAAGCCCCACTTACCCAAATGGGCTTAACGTCGTCATTGTAGTGGTACATTTCAAATCCCATGCCCACCACATTTTTCAAGGCGGAATCATAGAAGGAGTTGCCAATCACTCCATGCACCTCCGTGTACAATCCGGTGGAAATGGAGTGATGATTGGGAAAAGTTTTAGTTGGGAACACGTTGATCAAGTACTCGGCGTATACCCCCTGAGCACGGACCTGCTCCATGTGGGGCAGCCGCTGTTCGAAAAAATCGTACCTGAACGCATCGTAAGACACCACAACCAGAATGGGGTGATTGGAGAGGGCATGGGCACAACTGATGCAAACACAACACAGCAGGGCTGCACTTGGCCACATTGCTGGCGCTGCTCTTTGGAAAGGGGGCCCCTTTTGCAATGTTTACTCCCCGAGCTGTCAGTGAAGGAATCAATTGACAAGCAAGCGTGATTGGCTGCAAGGTTTTGATGCCAAAACCACAGATGACAGAGGTTATCTCTGTGATCCGTGGCGAATACTTATGCCTAGATGGCGCACGGTGTTTAGCGCCATATTTTCTATATATCTTCGCAAAACTTCTTTGGACAAAAGAAATATATTTCCTGAAAGCTTGAACTCACTACAGGGGCGGATCCAGGGGGGAGGGGTTATGTAGAAAAAATACAGTCTTGGCTATGAAATTAGAAAAATTATCGTCGTTTTGTGCAAGGGTGGCGTAAGACTATTGCAAAATTTCATGTTTTCCGTCCCGTTTTGCATGTTTCTCG